TTATGGTTCTCTGTTTTAGAAACAATTTCTAAATAGAATACTTGCTTCCAAATAGCAATTTAGAAAAACATTTAAATTTTATTTCTCAGACAATATTATTCTCCATTTGGAAATAGATGATCTTCTGCTCTGAAATTTTAATTACTCCCATAAAATTAATTACAAGAGTTTACTCCTGATCCTTTGGCCATCTAAGTGTCTTGGTCTAGCTGATCTTGGGTAGCCTTGGCCTGCAGTGGCTTGAAGCAGGATTTCAGTTCCCGGCCAGAGATTGAAGTCAGGCCTCGGCCCTGAGAGCACTGAATCCTGGCCACTAGACCACCAGGGACAGTGGCCAGTGACAAGGCCCCTGGCCCTTTGGCTTTGTAGAAATGCATTCCCACAAAGAGACAGAAAGTAATGAAACAAGTAAATTGTTTATTAGGAGGAAAAGGGGTACGTGTGAATAGACTCACACAGGCAGGCTCAGAGGGAGAGTCGTGCCCTCGTGGCAGTTTGAATCACTTACATGGGGCATTTCTGCCAGGTTTCCTTTGGCCAATCATCTTGCTTTGCCTGGTTCTGAGTCCGTGTTTTACCTCAGGGTCCTCCCATGTGTGCATGCATCTCTTAGCCAAGATGGAACCTAGTGAAGAAGCCTAAGGGTAGTTGACATCAATTACTTTGTGGTGGCTCCCCCTCCCTTTTGACCTCTGAAGAGCCTTTCTGCGCATGTGTAGTCAGGAAGGTCTCCTTGACCTCAAGAATGAGAAATACGTGATCTCTTTGTCTTTTATCTGGGCAGGGCTCAGCTCTTCTCTGCCCCTGCTATTCACCGGAGGCAAAGTCCAACTATTACCCTGTTCCTGTTGTTATTTTTATCTGGCAGTGTAAACAGAGGCTGGCTGTAAATGTCTAACCTGGAGCCCATCTATCTCCTGCCTCATAGCAAAGCTTATTCTAAGTGTTCAACTTAATGATTTATTCATTATTTTGGCAGATTTTCCTCCCCTTATCCCTTGTTCTTAATTTTTCAATGTCGAGATCATAGAGATTAATTCATGATATTTCATTCCAAATTTTATCTTTCATCTTATGCCAAATTTTTCTTAAACAGAGACCCAGTGATTCAGCACATGTCTGCTAGAACAGAGTTGTACATGGAACAGCCCTCAGGCTTTCCGCCCTGGAGTGACAGCTGTGTGAGGGAGCAGAAGTTTTCTTGTGCAATAGATGTCCTTGTTGCTCTGCTGAAGGTGGTGCCATGTTCCCTACGGATGTTCAAACCACAGGTGGTGGCTCACTGACTTATTGACCAACCTCATTAATACTCTCATCAACTCATGTATATATCCAAGTATAGCTAACCATTAAGGGATCAAGTAAGCTATATACAAGGTGAGGCATGTAAACATGTAAATTTTGATGAATAGAGATGAAATATTTTATCAAGTGTGAAAAGAGGAATTTCTTTGGACCTATTATTCATGCTAGTATACAAATCTATTGTCAGTTTTGCCTGTCTTTGTGTATTTCTCACACATTCCAGACTCTTTTCAAATATATCTTCTTTATTTGAAGTAAGGGCATTTTTCTTTAATCCATGCTCTCTACCAGAAGCCATTGTTAATTTAAAAAATTATCTCCCGAAATCAGTGTTTGTTAAAAGTGATTCTAAATGATATTTAGATTTTCCAAATTTTCTTTATTGTTTTTTAATGGTTGATTTTCAGTGTATTCTTTTCCCTTTCACACAGATCCATTCATTCTCTCTCTCACTGGATGGGTATTTTTCTTCTCTTTTATTTTGACTTGTCCTCATTAGGCAGGTGGAATTCACAGAACTCTATGTACAATTTCAGTCATTGAATAGTAAGAAATTTAATGTACTCATGGGTATTGGTTAGTTTATGTGACTCTTGGCGTGTCCTTATGTAACATTCTTATCTAACTTATCTAAATTAGAGATTGCTATCTAATTTCAGTTGCACTGCAATTCCTTCTATCAAATGAATCTTACACTCTTTAAAACAAAATATATTATTCAAAGATGTCAAATTATTTGTATATTCAGCAATGATTTTATGATTAAAGTTAAGCTCTAACACATTACAATGGAAAGAAAAATGTCTTATTCTCACTTATGTTAGGCATTATTTAGTATCACTGATCATTGAGTTATACCGCAGTTTGAGGGTAATGAGTCTGTAAAGGGATTGGTGATTTTCCAGTAGACCCAGAAATTTTTCTGTTTCCTCAAAGGAGAAGCTAAAAGAAACATGGCTAATAAAATGAAAATGGAAGAGTAGAATATGGCAGGAGAATGGTATGAGGTGAAGAGTATGGAAATGTGTGGCCGTGAGAGGAGCAGTGATGCAGTTTGAAGGGAGAAGACAGAGGAATTTGAGGAATAAAATAATGAGTGTACAGTAAAGATGAAATTAAAACCCCACACTGTCCAATCAACATTGAAATGCAAGTCTAGGGAAAAAAAGTCAAAAAGGTTTGAATTTTAGAAAAGAAAAAAAATACTAATGGAGCAAGGCACCTAGTTAGGTAACTGATGCGGAATTCAGAAAGTATAATCAATGGATTCATTCAGGGACAAAAGCATGTATTTAGTAAATTCATTTGTGAAAGAAATACTAAAATTATTTAAATATCTCTTCTTTTTATCGATAACACTTTTTTTCATGAGTGGAGTCAAAGACACTACATAAAAAATCATGGCCAATTAAGCTTCATGATTCTACTTGTCTTGTGGGGAAGAGCAAGGGCTGGCATTCCAGAACCAATCAGCAGAGCTGGCTGCCACACCCTCCAGAAACACGTCCCTGGCAAGGAAAAGCCTTGGGGAGGAGCACTTGTTTGTTTTGCTTCCATTAGAGACACAATGGTTTAGTACTCGGCCTCTGTGCATTCTGTTTGAACTTCTAGACTTTTCTTTTTATGGAAAATAGTTCACAAGACCATATGAGTCCCACTTCTCCCAATTACATTTTTCTTTTCTTTTTTTTCCTGTATAACTGGCCAGGGGCATGGATGTAAAAAATTAAAAAGAAGAAAAATGCCCAACTTTAAAATGGAAAACCCAAAAGTTGAAACGTTTCAACATAGTATATACTTTGTCCTTCCTCCAACTTTTTCTTAACTTCCTGGGCTTGGCCAGCATGAATTGTCTTCTTGTTCCTCTTTGGCTGCTCCTGGCAGTACTACATTTGGAAAATATGGTGACTCAGACATCAGCTTAGACAATGGAAGTTATTTACAAGAAATTCTGGGAATGTGTTGTTAGGATGTTCCAAGTCACTTGTAGAGCACAGGGTGTGAAAAGTTACTCAAAGCAAAAAACTCCAGGTGACCAGTAAATGTTTAAAAGTACAGTATTACCACTATTTCCTCAGCAGTTATACATTAAAGAATTTTTGGTCAGTTCTGTCAACATATAATTGCTATATCCAACCTCTAAAGCTATTAAAATCTAAGTTGTGAGGTAGTGAAAAAGGCAGGATTGGAAGGTCCGTCTTGCAGAGAATGAGACTGAGCTCTGAGAGGTAAGTGCCTCACCCAAACTTAAACTTGTCAGCTAGTAAATGCAGAGTCAGCATTTTAACTGAGATCTGACACCAAATCTAGAGCTCTTTCTATTTTGTTCTCAGTGGGATCCCCTGGGGAGGGGTTGGAGATGATGAGCACCAGGAAGCCAGGAGAAAGAAGAGCTTGATGAAGAGAAAGTGGGAATTAAGAAGTGGAAAGGGACACAGAAAGAAAGAAGGAGCCGCACAGCATGAAAACACATTCACTTACTTAATGATTTCAAGTATGAAACTTCTTTGTAAACCTGAGAATGTGTTCTACAAGTGTTATTTCTGAACTGTGCCCGTCATGTGAAAGGAGGAAAACAACTTTCTTCTTTTTCTTTCCGCTCCATTTTCGACTCTAGGCGCCTGGGTTCTGAGTCTCAGGATGTAGACTTGTGAGCAGGACAGGGTTGATGGTGGTCACAGGTTGGGGTCTGGTATCAAACTTTCTGGGTTTGAAAATCCAGTCAGTCACTTGCCACTTGTGTGTTAAATCACTAAACCTAAGTCTCAGTTTCCCGTCTTTAAAATGGAGAAAACAATAATTCTTGCCTCTCAGGGTTTTGGTGAGAATTAAATTAGGTCATTTGTGTGAGTTCCTGGCACATACCATACACCCAGGAGAGATTAACTCCTCTTACTAATATCATTAGTTCAGCTGCAGGTGATGTAAACAAGAACTAACTTGGTAACCTAATCACACGGAATAATATCATTTCTTTAGAAAAAGGCATTCTGAGTTTTAGCATCCTATAAACGAGGTTCTGAGTGAGTTGAAGGCTACCTAAGAAAGAAGTGGTATCAATAACAAAACAGAAGCAGATCCACAGATGCAAAGAACAAACTAGTGGTTACTAGTCGGGAGGGGGAGGGCCAAGATGGGGAAAGGGGTTTAAAAGGTACAAACTACTAGGTATAAAAAAAATAAGATACAAGGATATAATATACAGTACAGAGAATATAGCCAATATTTTATAATAACTTTATATGGAGTATAATCTATAAAAGTATTGAATTACTATATTGAGCCCCTGAAACTAATATAATATTGTAAGTCAGCTATGCTTCAATTAAAATAGTCAGCTATGCTTCAATTAAAATAAATAAATAGATATAAATAAATGGTGAATTTTATGGTATGTGAATTTTATCTCAACAAAGCTGTTAAGTTTTTTAAAAGCGGAAAGAAAGAAATGGTATGGATCATAAGTTTTTAATAAATTCAATTAATAGCATGCTATAACTTGTATAACCAAAGTAAACCAAACCAAGAAGGGATGGGATGCATATTCTACATGAGATAGTTGAAAGAAAAACATTGCTAAGAAGTATGGTGTATCTCTTTTAGTTGCACTTATACTGAGTGTTTTCTACAAGCTCATAAAATCCAGCTAATTTCAAGAATCAGAAAGTTGTTTGAGTATAAATTCAATCCCTTCCTTAAGGGTTGCAGACTCTTCCATAGAAGAGAATCATCTTAGTTTCCTTGTGTAAGATAAAGAAGAGAAAAGGACGATCCACCTTGAAGAGTTCAGGATTTTCCAATTTGCTTGTTTGGTTGTTAAGTGTGAACTCTGAACCAGTCTCAATAACCTCTAACATAGCCTTATGGATTATCCTGGAGACCCTGAGGCCTCCTCCTGCAGTTATGCCAGACAAGTTAGTCCTTGAGTGGTTAAAGACATCCGTCATTCCCAAAGCTGCCAGTATGGAAGTCAAGTCTTCATGGTCCCCATGAAGTCTGAGCTGGAGCAGGTACAGGACCACAGCTGTGTCTTTCATGTTGGCTGAGCCTATCCAGTTGCTTAGTTTCTTGTAAGTGATTTCACTGGTACCCTATGGGAAAGAAAGCAAGAAGCAAAACATGAACACTTTAATTTTTTTAAATTAATTTTTATTGGAGTATAGTTGCTTTACAATGTTGTGTTAGTTTCTAGTGTACAGCAAAATGAATCAGCTATACATATACATATATCCCCTGTTTTTTGGATTTCCTTCCCGTTTAGGTCACCACAGTACATTAAGTAGGGTTCCCTGTGTTATACAGTATGTTCTCATTAGATATCTATTTTACTCATAGTATCAATGGTATATGTGTCAATCCCAATTTCCCAATTCTTCCCACCCCCTAACATTTTTACTTAGAAAATAAAATTATACCAAAATGTGAAATATCCTAAGGGCTGGATGTGAGGTTGTAAATAGGCAAGGCTACTTCTCATTGACATTTTGCAAAGCAGATTCAATAAGAATAAGTGGGGGAAATGCAACCATGTGCAATAACTGCACATGAGGCATGTAGCCCTGGGATCTATGCCTAGGCACACCATCCAAGAGTCACTTGGAAAAGCAACAAATTATCATAGGGAATTTCTAATTTTAGTCCTCTAATTGTCTCTCTATAAGTTGCACTATTTATGTATTGTAATAATAAAATTTATATAAGTGCCTACCCTTCCTATTGGCCACATTAAAAGACATCTTTGGAACCTGAGACCCTCGGATTCTGACAACATAAGTTGTAATTCTAGGCTGATCAGCGTCAATTTCTACCTCAACTCCAATCAGAATTCTCATTAGTCAGGCATCCATAGAGACCGAATGTATACCAAATTAAGTAACATTTCTAGATCATTAGAATCAAATAATCTTAAGAAGAAGCATCTGTGACACCCATCAGCATCTGCTTGAGAAGTCCTTAATCAATGACCCACTTCTTTATAAACAGCCTGGTTTGGTGGTTGCACAGCTCAGCTTGCCGGAAAGACCTTTCCCATTGTGACCATAAATCTGCTTCCCTGTAATTTGTACGTATTAGTTTTAGTTCTCACTCTGGGAGCCGCACAAATTAGTCCATTTCTCCTTCCATGTGACAATTAAATATTTAAATACAATCAACATACTCCCTAAACTACTGCCTTTTTCTCATCCATTCCCCATGTGAAACTATTTCTGGCTTCTCCTCATTAGGTTGTCCTTACTGAGGAGGTTCATATTTTCCATGACTCATTTGGACTATGTTGTGGATGGAATCTATCAGGAGGTAGGTAGGCTAGACAACAAACAATGCAATCTCAAGCAGAAAAAAAAAACTATTTTGCATGGAATTGACATTCATCAGATACCACTTTCAACTCATACTCATTTAAGAAACCAGGGATGACTGCCCTCATCCATGGTGGTAAATTAATGTTAGGCATTATAATTGGAGAAAATTAGTTGGCTATCAGGATCTAGACTCATTTCCCCCACTTTTCCCTCTTTAAGATCATTTTATCAAACTGTAATTGTACTTCAGAATTTGTCTACTTTTCAGAGACTTTAAAGTTATTCTGAAATGTTCTACTTTTATGACTCAAGTCAAGTATATTAAAATACACGTTTCCACTAAGATCAGGAACAAGACAAGGTTGCCCACTCTTACTATTATTCAACATAGTTTTGGAAGTTTTAGCCACAGCAATCAGAGAAGAAAAAGAAATAAAAGGAATTCAAATCGGAAAAGAAGAGGTAAAGCTGTCACTGTTTGCAGATGACATGATACTATACATAGAGAATCCTAAAGATGCCACCAGAAAAGTACTAGAGCTAATCAATGAATTTGGTAAAGTATCAGGATACAAATCCTGATCCACAATATCATGTCCACAATAAGCCTTGTACCAGAATGTTGATGGCAGCTTTAAACATAAGAGCTAAGCACTCGAAGTCCATCAAGAGGCGGAAGTATAAACAAACTATGGTGCATCCATACACTGGAACACTACACAGCATTCAAAAGGAGCAAACTACTGGTGGTACACACAACGCTGGATCAATCTGAAAAGTATTATGCTCAGTGAAAGAAGCCAGGCCAAAACAAAAACTAATATACAGGCAAATGCATATGGTAACAAAAATCAAAACAGTGGTTGTACCTCTAGGGGGAGGTTGACTGGGAAGGGGTGTGGAGAAGCTTTCTGGAGCAATAGAAATGCTTCATTTCTTGATAGGGGTATCGGTTGCATATGTGCATGCACTGATCTAAACTGATTAAACTGACTGATTTGAGCATTTCACTATACATCAGTAACAGTGTTGTATTTTTTAAATTAATTTTTATTGGAGTATAGTTCCTTTGTAATGTTGTGTTAGTTTCTGCTGTACAGCAAAGTGAATCAGTTATACATATACATATATCCACTCTTTTTTAGATTCTGTTCCCATATAGATCGTTACAGAGTATTGAGTAGAGTTCCCTGTGCCATACAGTAGGTTCTTATTCGTTATCTATTTTATATATAGTTGTGTGTATATGTCAATCCCAATCTCCCAATTAACCTTTTTTATTTTGAGATAATTGTAGGTTCACTCACATGCAGTGGTAAGAAATAACATAGATTCTGTGTATCCTTTACCCAGTTTCTTGAAATGATAACATCCTGCAAAACTATAGTACAATGTCACAACCAGGATGTTAACCTTAACAAAGTCAAGATACAGAATATTTCCACCACCACAAGGATTCCTCATGTTGCCCTTTTAAAATCATACTCACTCTACCCCAGTCTCATCCGTAAACGCTGGTAACCACTAATCTGTTCTCCACTTCTGTAGTTTTGTCATTTCAATCATGTCATATAGATGGGATCATACAGTATATAAATCTTTGGGGATTGCCATTTTTCACTGGAGTTTCATCCAGGTTGTTGCATTTATCAATAGTTCAGTCCTTTTTATTCCTGAGTAATACCCATCATATGGGTGTACCACAGTATGTTTAACCACTCACTGGTTGAAGGACATCTGGGTTGTTTACGGTTGGTAGATATTACGAATAAAGCTGCTATAAATATTTATGCACGAGTTTTTAGGCGAACATAAGTTTTCATTTCGGGATAAATTCCAATTTCTGGGTCACATGGCAAGTTCATGTTTAGTTTAGGGTTTATTTTTTTTTCTAAGAAACTGCCAAACTGGTTTTCAAGAGTGGCTGTACCATTTTGCATTCCACTGGCAATGTATAAATGATCTAGCTCTCCATATCCTTACCAGTATTTGGTGCTGTTGCTATTTTTATTTCAGGTGTCCTGAGAGGTGTGTAGTGATACCTGTTTGTCTTTGTTTGCATTTCCCTAACCGTTAATGATACGGGACATCGTTTCATGTGCTTATTTGCTCTTTGCATATATGCTTTTCCTTGAAATTCCTTTCATGTCTTTGCCCATTTTCTAATTGGGTTGTTTTTTAATGTTGAACTTTGAGAGGTGTTAATATATTCTAGAAACTACTTAATTGGATACCTTGTCTTTTCATCTCCTTCATATGGACTTTCACAGAGCAAAAGTTTTAAATTCTGATGAGGTTCGATTTTTTTCCTTTTATGGATTATGCTTTTGATGTCAAGTCTGAGAAATTTTTGCCTAGCCCTACATCCCAAATGTTTTCTTTTTTCTAAAAGCTCTATAGCTTTACATCTACATTTAAGACTATAATCCATTTTCAGTTAATTTTTATATGAGGTTTAAGTCAAGATTCTTTCCTTTATTTTTGAGAGGTGTGTCCTACGGATGTCCAATTTCCCCATCGTCATTTGTTGAAAACACTATCCTTTTTCCATGGAATTGCTTTTAAACCTTTGTCGAAAATCTACTTTGTCAAAAATACCACATGGTCATGATTACTCTACCTATACAATGTCTTACAATAGAGTAGACTGGTCTTTCATATTTTATTCTTCCTCTTCAAAATACTTAGTTTAAAATACATCTCCAAAGGGTGTTAGACTTAAGTTTAATTTTTTAAAAGCTAATACTCTTTCAGGCAGAATTTACAAACCTGGAAAAAGTCACTAAATCTTAGTGGCCCTGACACAGTCAAGAAGCACCTGGAAAATATATTGCAAATCCTATAGTTTCTTGCACCCGGAGAGGATTTGGGCATTGGCATTAGGACCTCAACCACAAAGCTTCCCTCTGCCCACGGTAGAAACTGACTTGAAGTATTTCTTGTAGGGCGTCACCAGTACCACGCAAGTTAGGGCATGAATGGAAGAAGGCTCTTGTGGTTCCCTAGTAGTTCATGTGTATGAATTACTTCTCCAATGTTGTGATTTCTTACACTGGTGGCCCCCAGTAAACCTCTTGATATTCATACCTTCTGTAGTCTCTTCCCCTGTGGCTTGGCTTTAAACGTTAGAATGTATCAAGAATGATGTTTTGTACTATATATATACTGAAGTCAATTCTTTCTTTCCTATATATTAGCAAGGAGCAATTGGAATGAACCCTAATGTAAACTATGGAGTTTATTTAATAATATATCAATAACGATTCGTTGAATGTCACAAACGTACCACAATAATACCAGATGTTAATAATAGGGGAAACTGTGTGAGGAGGAGACAAGGGTATAAGGGAGCCCTCTGCTAATTATCCTTTATCCTAGGAAATAACTCTTTTGCCATCTACAGCCCCGATCTTTCATTCAGCTGCCTTTCACCAGAGTGGTGGGAGATTGGGTCTGAAATGAAATGGGACATCCGTGGTGCTAAAACTACATATATTTGATGCATCTGTGGAACCACATTAAACCCTCCTCTGATAGCCTCCAGCCCTGAATTTTAGAGCATACCTGTTGGTTTGACTTACCAGGGCTGACCTGCTTCCTGAGTTTCTCGGTCTCTCAACAAATCACCTCCACCCTAGCCTGGCACCGCCCTCTCCATTTCCACATTCCTTAGAGACTGCAGTCCGCAGTGTTTGTGTTAGTGGGGTTGGGAGGCAAAGTTCAGCTTCTCAAAGAAAGTCTTCCCCAGGAAATACACAACTAGACAGGTGGGAGTTATGTACAGGTGC